CTGCTGGGAGGAGTGGCCATCGCTCTGGGAGGAGTTCTGCCCGGCATTTTGGCAGTCCTGCAGCCCAGAGGAACCGAGAGGTCAGCTGAGTCCAGGTGGATGGATCGGACGGCATCTGTGGCCAGTTTCTTAGGATCTGCTGTGGGACAGACCTTTACAAGAGATCCTTCCTGCCTACAGCATCAGCATCTATAACATCTCTTAATGAAACAAAGACAACGAGTTACAACAACATTTAATTTCCCTTTGGGATTAATAAAGTATTTCTGAACTGAATTGAATTAAAAATACAGTGGGTCGTGTCGTTCTTTGGTTTCCTTTTCCTCCACTGTTGTGAAGCTCCGTTGGATTCGGCCGAATGGTTTTTTTTTTTCTTCAGTTCAGTGTTCTGCAACATTCTGCCTCATCTTCTCTACTCCTATAGAAGTTTCCATCTCCTGCACTCCCTCATGTTAGGTCGTAGATTTTAGTTTTTAGGTCATCTGCTCGTACAAACACATCCAGCCCTGATACCCCCCACCCTCCACCCCACTTTAGATCCAAGTCATTTTATGAGGCAACACTGAGCAACAGCTCAGAACCAGCAACCTACTCCTGCATGAGAAAGGAACCAGAACCCACGTTAGCAGCTTCAGAGCAGAAGTGAAGGGTTTGCAGTTCTGTTTCTGTCCCGTGATGTTTTTCCCCTCTCACAAACTGAATCTCTGCCTTCTTCAACTTGTTTTTCATACAAACATGAGCAGGTTCTGTAAAAGTTTAGTTAGAATTAGTGTGTTTGTGTCACAGCTTGAAGGTCGGTGAACTTCTCTTCAGACTTCTTAAAGCTAAAATGAACGAGTGGCTCCTGTAGAGTGACAGCAGGAATGTTTTATCGTCTCTCCCGTTAGTAAAATACTTGTTAAATCAATCAATCCTCACAAGATACAAAACAATCCCTTATCAGTTTCTTACTTTGAAGCTATTTAATATGGTAAAGACATTTTAGTGCCAAATTTATTTCATTTAAATCTGGATTCACCAAACGGTGAAAACATAAATCAACACTTTTAAAGCTATAAAAATCCTCCTGTCTTTGTGATCTGATTGAGACTTTGAGTCGTAGAAAGACGTTCTTTATGAAAGTCAGCTGCAGGTTTTCCTCCTATAAGAACCGTCAGACTTTATAGTAAAGTGATGTCTCAAATGATTGAAATGTTGCCGCTTTACTTACAAGTGTATCTATAAACCGTTTTCTTTTTCAAGAAACGATAAAAGAAATAGAACCTGAAATTTGAGGCCTAGCATCCCTTACAGAAATGTATATCACTCGCCACTTTTAAAACGCCAGAGTTTTTAACTAATTAACGGTTTGTCGCAGTTGTGGAGGACTTTAACTCAAGAATGCAAACTTAATTCAGGAACTTAAAGACAAAACTAAACGAAACATAAATATTGACGTGGCAGCAGACTTGAAGGAACTAAGGGTAGGTACGAGGAGGCACAGGAGGGTGCTGGGAAAACCCCACATGGCATAATGCTCAGCTGGAGAGAGTGACGCAGGATCTAAAATGGACTGACAAGAAGATTAGAGACAGCTGAGCTTAATGAGACGGGGCGCAGGAGAGGACGCGGCAGGACTAAGGAGTAAAAAAAAAACTGACTGAGGGAAGTGATGGAGGAAACACAGAGGGACAGAAGTGCAAAATACTGAAAATAACTTGAATACAATAGTCCCTCGCTACTTCATGGTTTGTTTTTCACAGACTCGCTGTATTGTGGTTTTTCAAAACAAGATTGGACATGACACACAGCTGGCTGATTGATGGATGAGCCGCACAATAGCCATGGAATTTTTATTTAAAATAAATTTTAAATTATTCACTTGCACCTGCTGCACCTTTGTGCAGTCCACATTGCAGGAGAAGCTTCTTGATGTAGCGTGTCATATCTCCGCTCTACAGCGGAGAGGTGGGCGTGGCCAGGAGCGCTGGCAGAGTTCACGACATTCTGTGCTCTAGTTAGAGCATTTAAAATCATCAAGAGTATGAGATGGATTTACATACACACACACAGGCAACAAAAAGCCCAGATCCTGACTCATTTAGTGCTCAAAGTGTGTGTTGTGAACGACTCTCAGCTACCACCACAGCTAATTTTAGCTTAATATCTGCAAAACTGACTGATTTGTAGTAGGCTTTGTGTTGTTCATGGTCAGCAAGCTGTGATTGCTGATTTAAAGTGGTTCTAAAAGTCAATGATTATTTCCGGAAAGGTTTATTAAAATCAGCCCAGTGGTTCATGAGATATTTTGCTAACAGACAAACAAAGACATGCAGTTACATTATCTTCCTCCTTTCAGAGCAGCTGGCGATTGTTAAAGGTAAAAATTATAAATGGCATGATCTGATAGTACGTTGAACCCAAAGTGCAGGCAGACACAGAAATCCCTGAGGCTAAAATCAAGAGTTGTATTTAATGAGACTAAAATGAAAGCAAAACTTACACGTAGGAGACGAGGGGGTCACGAGAGGAGCAGAGACCGATCACAACACCAGTATGAGGATAATCCTCGGACAGGGGAACGATAACAACACGCAGAATATAAAGACACACTAACGAGGAGATGAACACAAACACCTGTGGAAGGCCGAAGCTAATCACAGGAGGTGCAGGAGGAGGGACGAGACGAGGGAGAGCAGAAAAACTAAAGAGATCACAAGACAGAACAGACAGTCGTGGTTTTAGCTCATGCACATGTAGCTGCTGTGTTTCTGTTTCCTGAACGTCTTGAATTGTTAACAGATTCATCAGTTTTCAGCTTCGGCAGTCACGACTGATTCATGTGAAAGTTTACTGTCAAAACAAGTTACAACATCAAAACTCGTCAGGCGTTCCTTGAGCAAATAAAAATAAATAAAACTGTTCCTTCCGTCTGGGGATGATTTGAAATAAACTGTGAAAAATGAGCTGGATGTGTTTATTGCAACCTGTGGGAAGATGTTCTGTTGTTTTAATTTCCAACATCTCACATTGATTACCACTTTCTCCTCATTTATGTCGTAATTAAATCATCTTTTTTATTGAAACATAAATCCCGAACGCTCCTCTTCCACAACATAATGGTTCCATTAATCAGTGCCAGTAAAGAGATCTTATTTGTTCTGAAGTTGTCTTTCCTCCCATATTGATCGCTTCGTCTCCTTCTATTCCCCCAATACTGAAATCAAATAAATCATCACAATAGCTGTCCTGTCAGACTTTCTCTGTTTCGTGAGGAGAGGATTGCAGCTTCCTCTGTCTGGATGAAGCTGTTTTCTGCAGAAAAATCTTTCCTCTCCTGGAACGAGCTGAAATATCAAAGCTACATTTGTCCATCATCCTCTAAAACCACGAGTTTGTCTCTTTCTGTCGGAGGCTGCCGCTCCCCAACTAGACCTGTCACGATTACAAATTTTACTGGGCAATTAATTGTCTCAGAAATTATTGCGATAAACGATAAAATTGTTTGAAATGTGAAAAAAAGAAGAAATGTTGATTAATTTGTTTTGTGTATAGTACCTTTTCTGACCACTGGATGGCAGCATAAGACTGTTTGAATCGAAGGATGGATAGTGAGGGAGCGAGCAGCGTGTCTCTTTAAGAAAAATGGGAGGGAGGACCCTTGACGTGACATGGGCTGTCTCTTTGGTTCTCAAAATGGTGGACGCTTGGTGTGATTTGAGCTCGTTAGCATAACATTTGTCACACAAAGCTTTTAATTAAAATAATCAGTAAACAAGTTCTCAGTTTCTTTTTGCAGAGACAAACTTTTTACACGAAGGCACGGGTTTCAACTGTGAATTTTGGAGCTTCGACAAAATGGAGTTTTTTTTCCCCGAGGTCGGCCTGTTAGCTTAGCTCGTAGCTTAGCTTCTCAGCTTAGCTGCTTTTAACAATCCAAAAATGCGATTTTGGATTGTTAAAACAGATTTTAAAGAGAAAGGGAGGGGTCAGTGAAGAGCACCGGAGTTGATCCTTTTTGTCTTCAGAAGAAAGAGAGAGACACGAAGAAACCATAATGCTGATAAATGAAAACAAGGTTGATAATTTTCATTTATCATGTGATTAATTGATTTATTGTTTATCGTGATAGACTTATATACAACACATTTTTAATGTCCCTTTTCTTCTTTCTGCAAAAGCACAAAGTTTCTCTCGAGTGACGATCCACTTATTAGGGCCGGGTGGTGCTCATTCATCATTAATGATGCCTCATCGTGTTTCGTTTGCGCTCTTTTATTTTCACATTTTCAGTTTTCCATACAAGTATGCAGATCTACGTAGTAGTTCTTAATGAGATGACTGCAGGTGACCTCATGGTGACCTCCCCTCATGAAGCTGAGAAAAAGAGACATTTTTAAACGCGGCGCACAGTCCGGCGTGCTGGAGCTGTCTGCAGGACGGCGTCGGGCTGGCACCAGGTCAGCCTGTCGGACAGAAACAGACGAGCAGGTCAGATAATGAGGAGACAACAAACTTACAGGTCAGATAACAAACGGCCGGCTGTCAGATCGGAGAAAGAGAGATGCTAAAAGAGAAACTCATTAACGCAAAGAAAATCTGTATTTAAAGATCGTCAGAATGACTCCACACATTTTGAAGCCAAACGAAGAATAAAGCCTCCAGATTTCTGATGAAACGTCATTTTATCTTTTAAGTTTTGTCTCTTTTGTGTCAGATTAGAGTTTTCAAATTAAAACAGTGCTGACGTGCTGATTAAACAGAGTCTGTAATTTTCACTTCTCACTATCTGATTAGTTTTATTAAAAACCTTCTCACCTCTGACAGTCATCATCTCCTCTTTTCTTTGCTTTCTCTACCTTCTATCCATCCTCGTCCATTCATTTACTGAAATCTTCCCTCTTTTCCCCCTATTTGTCAGAGATATTTTCTTCTTATCTTCAACTGTTTCTCAGTTATTACAAAAAAAAATTCTCTATTCTTTACTCCTTTTGTTTTTTCTCCTTCATCATCTTTCTCAGGCAGCACTTCATCCTCGGAGCCCCGGGAGCTCGCCTCACTCGGCAGTCTGCTGGATGATCAGCATTGGCACCACGTCGTAGTGGAGCAGAAAAACGTCCATCTCAACCTGACTGTGGACAAACACACCGAGGCAGTCCAGATCCCTGAAGAGTTCAGCCTCTGGGCCGTCGAACAGGCGTGTGGAAGCACAGATACACACCAACACAAACATGCTGTAAACACACACACATGCATTAACACAGATACGTGATTTAAATGTTTTTCTTGTGTTTGTACGCAGATGAGTGTAGGAGCAGCCCAGAATTCAGCCATCTCCAAGAAAAACTTCCAAGGCTGCCTGGAAAACCTGCTGTTCAACAGCATCAACCTGATCGAGCTGACCAAACACAGGAACCAGCGGGTCGCTGTGCAGGTGAACACATTTTACTGTGGAAACTAGCATTCATTAATGCCAGATCCTCAGTCATCCAGGTCAAAGTCCAGTCCAAGTCCACTTGTTTTTTATTCTTTTTTGGAATGCACAGTTTGTCACCTTCTGGCTTCCTTACCAAAGTTTCAAAACAAAATTGTTGCCTGATCTGTTTTCACTCAGAGTGTTTGCTTGAGGATGGCTCTTAGCTACCACCACACCAGATCTTAGCTCTGTATTTGTAAAAACGACTACGTTATAACAATTATAATGTTGGTAAAGGTAATTTATTTATTTATTCTTAGAGTTATCTAACTGTTAACATTGGTGTACCACAAGGTTCAGTCTTAGGACCCACCCTCTTTGCAATCTACATAAGTAATGTAGGTCAGATGCATCCTTATGTTTCTATGCTGATGATACAGTTGTTTACTGTTGAGGTAGAACAGTTGATAAGGTTTTCCAGCTTTTGCGACTTGTCCAGGGTGTACCCCGCCCCTCGCACAGTGCTGGACATGGGCACCGGCAACCCCCGTGACCTAAAAATGGAAGAAGCTGGTAAAAGATAATGGATGGATGGATGATCGAGTTGCATCTCTCTTTTAAGCTCCACGTAACGTCTACTGTTGTCATCATTCTTTGTTAAATCAGGCTTTTCTTGTAAATGAGTCATTGAGACTCAATGAGACTAACCTGTATAAATAAAGGTTGAATGAATGAATGAAGGAATGTAGTTGGATCGACCATTATGGCCATCTGTATTTATAACTCTACTGATTATGAATGTTTCCTGAAAATCTTTTCATTGGTTCACGAGATATTTTGCTAACATTTCCTGCTATACTTTACCTTTAACATTAAGCTGTATGCAGATGATGCAGTAATATTTACTCTGAAACATTTCCTCCATTTTTCAAGTCAAACTGTGTTTGACGAGGTAAAATAATAGCCTACATATTTTGGGGGAAATCCACACAAAGTTTCTACCTTATTTCTTCCTTTTAGGTATAACAAATCTGAAAACACCAACTATTTGATGTTTATCTCCTCAACTCTTTAGAGCATTGAAATTAAAAATAAATATAATGGACTAAAATTAGCTCCTCACAGAAAGAGACAGATCTGTTTTGCTGCACATAAAGCAGATGAAACAGGCGGCACAATAAACACAATAAGGACTGATTTCCAGGTATGTTCAAACATGTTGCTCTCCTCAGAGCGCCACCACACCCTGAACTTAGGCTGATGAGCTCTTTTTGAGGAAAAGTGACGAGAGAACAAAGGACACTGGGTGAGGTGATTGGAATTACTTCAAGTCTTTAAGATTAAAAGTTAGTTAAAAGTAAGGCCCTTCTGTGACAGTGTGAATTATTTCAAAAGTTTCTGTTAAAAAGTTCCTTTTGTTTTGTATGAACACAGTTACAGTTGATTTTTAACAGCTCTTAAAGCCCAAAATCACACAAATCCTTTGAAGATGAATGCATGAATCACTAAGTGAGGAGTGTTTTGAGTGTGCGTGTGGTAAATAGTTTTTTTGTGGACTTTTATAGCCCAGTTTTTACATTATGTCCAGCATTCTCCACCTTATACTTCCATATATCACTTTAACAGCTCTACAAAGGACTTTTAGATGTCATCTCTGTTTCCAGAGCTCTTTAAAGATAGCCGCCTGATATTCCCAGCAGAGGACCGGTGCTGTGATATATTACCGCTGCAGCCTTCACAGTGGATGCTGTGTCATTACCTCCCTTCAGAACAACAGTGTGCCATGAAACGGCTGTGGAGGAAAGTTCATATGCATATCCGCCTCCCTCCACAGCTCACGCCTCCTTCCTCAAGGAGACTTGCTGATGAGATCACTGCAACATGGAGTTGCATCGACACGCCCTCTGCACCGGATTAATATTCATGTTTGCGGTTGTTTTATCTCCCTTGTAATCATTTTTTATGTCCCAATGCTTTTCTTTCTTCCTCTTTCAGGGCAATGTGACCTTTTCTTGTGCTGAGCCTGTTTTTGTCGCCGTGACCTTCCCCGGCCCCCAGAGCTTCCTCCAGCTGCCGTGGACAACGACTTCCACATCTGAGAGTGTGTCCATCGGGTTTCAGTTCAGAACGTGGAACGAGGCAGGGCTTCTGCTCACCTTTGACCTTCCACGGCAAGGAGGCGGGGTCTGGTTGCACCTGAGCGAGGCCAGACTTCAAATGAAGATCCACAGAGGAGGCAAAGTGCTGCTGGAGCTCAGTGCAGGTCAAACAACAAAACTTGGTCTAAAATCAACAGTTACACCAGATAAGGATCCTACATTCTACACTAAAACATAAATAATATAAATGTTTTTCCAGGTTCTGCTTTAAACGATGGTCAGTGGCATTCAGTGGATCTTAACTCCAGACGTGGTCGTCTAACTGTCTCTATCGACAAACAAGAAGGTGGTGTTGCTCACGCTGCCCTCTCGTTTCCTGTTTCAGTCTCAAATCAAGTCATCTTTGGAGGTAAGAGCGAAACGTGATCCACCAGTCATGAGTTATATGACAGGGTCATATTCAGCAAGGTCCGTTTTTCTCGAGCAAGAGTAACGATAATGGAAATAAGCTTATTTATAATATAGTACTAATAAAACCTAATAAGTGTTTTTAAACTCTCATGTAGAAGTTCATCAAACCTCATTAAAAACCTCTATTTTCCCTTCAAAGTTGACCTCCGTGCTGATTTTCTTCCCTCATGGTGGTGTACAGACAGAGAGCAGCTGCCGGTCCTTTGACACAAACAAGATGCAGATGACCGTAAATGCTAAAAAAAAAAAACAATCCATTAAAAGTGATTATTGTAAATCACAGACTATATGCACAACCATTTAGGGATCCGATCAGATTTGGCCATAGATGGACGGGACTTTGACCACGCCATCTCATGAAGTCATCTCTCTTCTACACTCTTCATTTGCCTGCTTTAGAGATTAGGAGGCAAATATCAATCTTGTTTTTTAGTTCACCAGTCTGTGGTCATAATGTTTTGGCTGTCCATGCTGTAACGTATTCATATTGAATGTCTCTTTCAGCTGCTGACAGTTTTATAGTTACAGCTATAGGTCTGCAGTATCTCTCAGCTCATTTTATCATTTTTCTTGCCACTTTTCCTTTATTCTGTTTCCCCTTCCTCCTTTTTCCTTTTATCTCTCCACTCTCAATTTTTCATCACCAAAACTGCCGTCACTTTTGTTTTCCACCTGCTCAGCAACATTGGAAACCGGGCATATTCTTTATCCCTTTAGGCTTTTTATCATCCTGCACATGCATATTCACAAGTTTAAACAACTCTTCTTCCACCTTCCATGAGCTGCAGCAGGAAAAACTAATTTCAGTCAGAGTTAGCTTAGCATGAGTTTACAGATGTTTTCCTTGTAAACGCTGTCGCCTGATACTTTTGTTCTATCTTTATCAAAGGTTGTCCTCTTGAGGACTCCAACCAGGAATGTAGAAACCCCTATGGCGTCTTCCAGGGCTGCATGCGTCTCCTTACTTTGGACAATCAGCAGGTTGATCTGATCATGGTGCAGCAAAGGCTTCTGGGAAATTACAGCCAACTGCAGATGGACATGTGTGGCATCACTGACAGGTCAGAGCTAACAGTTCAACCGTAATCACACAACAGCTGCAGATATGTAAACCACTGCAGGGTCAGAGATTAGGTTTATTTTCAGGTGTTTTCACCAAACAAGTCATGTTTCCACTAATGCAGCAATGAATTTCTAGGAAATAAGGTTATAAGGTTCTGGGAGTGTTTGCTGTTCAGTGTAACCAAATATGTTGGTTTATATTTACTCATACACTAACGTGCACAATGCTTTGCAAAAAAAAATAAATAAATAAATACACTGTGAAATGTTTGTCTGTTTTAGAGGTTGAAAATTAAAAATATTGAAGCTGCGATGATTGCATCAGAGATTAGCATTTATCTTGCTTTGATTATTATAAAAACAAGATTGTTTTAAATAAATGTCATGGCTTTAAAAGCACGATTTTTATAAATTTGAGCCAAACAAACTGCTGTTTTAAGCTCTTAGTCATCCCAGGTCAACAACTGGTTGTTTTTACCATAAAAGCATGTTTTGTCCAAACCCATGAAAGGAATTTATTCATAACCAGTGTGTTCAAGTTAAAACCTTCAATTACAGTAGTCTGTCATTTATCGCGGGGGATCTGTACTCTGAAGTAGAGTTGCATTTGGGCCCAAAAAATTCGATCCGACCCGGCCCCAGCTCACAGTCATATTTTCCGACCCCCACACAACCCGACGAATTAACAGTAATGACAGGTCCGAACCCGGAAAAAAAACAACACATTTTTAATCAGTTATTAACGGTCGGAGACGCGCAGCTGTATAAAAGCGACAGAAGATTCGGAGCTGAGAGGTGTTTGTCCTTTCATGGCCATAAAAAAGCATTTAAGCCCCGTTTCTGACTGCATTCTTCTGAATTACTGAGACACACGGACAGCTCTGACACACATGTCTGCTTTGGGATCTCACCTGTTTGGGTCGTCGGCCGCACACATCCTCTGAGTGCAGTGGCAGAATGAACGTCCATTTGGGCAATGTATCGCTGCCTGGCAGTACAGTCCCATCTGAAGCTTAACTGAACTTTTTACCTCTTTCAAGGCCGGTCAGCTCGTAGTGAAATGTCCGCGTGCGGCTGGCGGAAGTATGGCAGGCCATGTAATCATATAATTGGATCGCAGCTGATCCTGACCTAATTCAAAGCCCGAGACCAGCCTGGTCCGCCCATTAATCACATTATAATGGCCTGGCCCAGCCCTAATCCAGGTCGGTCCGGGACGGGTTTTGAGTTCGGGTTAGAAATTACAGCTCTACCCTGAAGACCAGCAATAAGTGAAAAACTGCGAAGTAGTAATAGTAGTACAGGTAATAAGTAGTAGTTTATTTTATTATATATATATATGTATATATATATATATATATATATATATATACATATATATAAAGACGTTTTAAATCCTTCCCACACTCTTGCAACATTGTAAACAATGTTTCTAAACTCTAAACGCTCTAAAAGAGCACAGAATGTCATGATTTCAGCTCCCTGCCTTCTCTGATCTTTGTCACCTGCAAATGCTCTTGGCCACGCCCACTTCTCCGCTTTGCATGGTGAACAGCTGATCAGCTGCAGGAGGAAGTTTATCCTGCAGTTTGGGCTGCACAAATGTGCAGCAGGTGCTAAATGATTTTAAATAATTTATTTTAAATAAAAATTCATGCGTATCATCAATAGTGTGTCATGTCCAGTCTTATTTTGAAAAAACAACGATAGAGCAAGACTGCGATAAACGAACCACCTCTGTAGTTTTTAAACTTGACTTGACTAAACAACTTGACGACTTGTTCACTTTTAGTGAAATCAAGTTTCTAGATCAGTGTGTACCAGGAGTGGGGTTCGAACCCACGAGGACATGTGTCCATTGGATCTTAAGTCCAACGCCTTAACCACTCGGCCATCCTGGTCATGTGTTTTGTTGTACAACATGTTGCAAAATGTGATCGCTAACAAACTGTATCAGACCAGTTTGCTGTTTTTATTTTAAAATTGACATTACTGTGAAAAATTCTCAGCTTTTCTCATTTGTTTGATTTCTGCTTCCATGCCTCTCCTTCAGCTCCTGTGACAGCAGGTTGATTTTCTCTGCTTTTATTTCCCAGAATCCATGAGGTGAACAAAAAGAAGCAGCGGTGCATTTTGTTTTTATTTTATTTCAATTGAGTTGTAGAAAAAGCGATCCCATCAGCTGGTGGTCCAAAGCTGAGTTTAGGAGCAGTAAGTGTTGTTTGATTTCATAACCTGAGAAAATATCTTTCCATGGAGGTCAGAGTGTGTTCTGTTACTTTTTTAGACAGTTTAATGGACAGGATTTTAGGTGCACACCACTACATAAATCCTGTTGTGTCCCCTCTTGGTCAATTTAAAAATGGCATTGCTACATTGAAAGACTGTCACCTCATCTGATTTGTCTGATTTTCGCTTCCACGCCTCTCCTTCAGCTTTACGCCACCGCTCATTTTGGACTGACATTCCTCAAAATTCACAAATGCAAAAAGACGAGGCAGAGATGTAAACTTTGGTTTTCTTTGCATTTCACTTGGATTGTAGAAAAAGCAATCCATCAACTTGTATCATAAAGCTGAGTTCCAGCTGTCTAAATTTGTTCTTTCATGACCACATTTTCTGCTTCTTTTGTTGTAAGCAACAATATCCTCCCTGGTCTGTAGGTGCTAACATCAAGGATACATCCAGTGTTAGTTTGTTTTGAATGACAGCTGTGTGTTGTCAAGCACTTGGAGTGGTTTACTTGGTCACTTACAGAGTTTTGGTTAGGCCTGTTGCGATAAACAATAAATCAATTAATCGCATGATGAATGAAAATTATCGACCTCATTTTCATTTACTGTTTTATAATTTCTTCATGTCTCTCTTTCTGCTGAAGACACGGCTCAACTCCGGTGCTCTTCACTGACCCCTTCTTTTTTCTCTTTAAAATCTATTTTAACCTTCCAAAATTGCATTTTTAGATCGTTAAAAGCAGCTAAGCTGAGAAGCTAAGCTACGAGCTAAGCTAACAGGCCGACCTCGGGAATAAACCTCCGTCTTGTCGAAGCTCCAAAATTCACAGTTGAAACCTATGCCTTCGTGTAAAAAGTTGTTGTTCTCTGCAAAAAAAAAAAGGCGCAGAACTTGTTTAGTGATTTTTTAAATTAAAAGCTTTGTGTGAAAAATGCTATGCTACAAAACTCCAATCACAGAGCGTTCGCCATGTCACCATGACAGCTCATGTCATGTCAAGGGCCCTCCCTCCCATTTTTTTTTTTTTTTTCTCCCCTTGTCCTGTCTGGCATTGTGACACTCAGAATTATTGTCTGAGTGTCAAAGTGATGCCCAACAGATTTACTTTCACAAGCAGAGCATTATGGCTGGCCTTAATGCTCCACTTGATATATAAATTAAATTTTATAAGAATATGCTTTGGGTTTGTTTCAGATGTAATGGACACGGGGACGGAAAACAAACAAGATAACAAAGCAGAAAAGTGAGAGAAGAGTTAAAATGTAAAGAAGGAGATAGGAATAGAGGAGAGAGAGAGGGATAAAGAGAACACAAATCAACATCGTTGAAGTCTGCCTCTAGACCTGCGGAAAGAGAGAAAAAAAAAAACGACACAACCAAGAAACCACAACAACAAACAACTTATATAATGATAGTTATAACATAATTATAAAGTATTTTATACATTACATGGTAATACAATATATATTTGATGACCACCACAACCCGAGTGTGTATCTGATAAACACTGGAATCTAAACACCTGTGTGAGCATGCTTATCACTATAAGGTTTCTCATAAAAATGTTCAATAGCGGATGTGGGGACCCATAAACCCGTCCCCGTAGGACACAAAGGTAACACAGGGAAGCCCGGAACCACAGACACACAGCGCTCCCCAAGCCCGGAACTCCGGTAGTCCCCCAACAGAGACACCCGCACCCCACAGAGAGAGAAGCAAAGGGAAGCCCCGGGCGATCCCCAGCAACCACAATGCAGAAACCTCCAGAAGGCCGTAGCGACGAGTCAACAGGCCCCGCCGGCAACCTGCCCCTCCAGAGTGGATCCGGCCATGGACACCAAGCTCCGAGTCCTGAGGTCATACCACCCCCCAATAGAGCAGCAGGGAGCAGCAGCCAAGGAAGACCGGCCCAGCGCACCAATGCATCCCTAAAGCCCATTTTTCTAAAAGAGACGCTGCTCAACGATCCATCCTTTGGTTCAGTCATATACTGACATCAGGTGGTCAAAAAAGGTACTACATCCCAAACAAATCAACATTTCTTCGAAAATTTGACAATTATTGTTAAATTTCAAACAAAATCATTTATGGCAAGAGCTTCTTAGACAATTAATCACCCTGCAAAATCTGTTATCGTGAAGGGTCTAGTTATGATAGCAAGTTGACTTTCTAATGCAAAATTCCAGTGGTTTGTATGTGAGTAGTCTTCAAGCAGCAGTGTTGGGACATAACTTTCTACTATATTTTATAAGAAAGTCTTACCAGGAGTGGGGTTTGAACCCACAAGGACATGTGTCCATTGAATCTTAAGTCCAACGCCTTAACCACTCGGCCATCCTGGTTATAGTTTTCTCTGCTCTATATTTCAGATGATGTAATTGGGGAAGCAAACTAGTTTCATTTTAAAAATGACATTGTTGCATTGAAGGTTACTGTCACCTCATCTGATTTCTGCATCCACGCCTGTCCTTCAGCTTTACGCCACAGCTCAATGTGAACTGTTACTTCCCAAAATTCACAAGATGAATAAAGACAAACAGAAGTGTAAAACTTTGGTTTTCGTTGCATTTCAATTTGGTTGTTGAATAAGCAATCCCATCAACTTTTTCCATAAAGATGAGTTGCAGCTGTTTAAATGTGTTCATGAACACATTTTATGTTTTTCTTACAAGCAATATAATCTTCTTTTGTCTGTAGGTGCTAACATCAATGTTGGTTTGGAATGACAGCTGTGTTGTCAAGCACTTGGAGTAGTTTATTTGGT